TAATAATCTAAGTAAGCCTCACGTTTCCACTGAATTTCATAGCCTTTCTTTCCCAGAAGATATTTTCCTCCAGGGTGAACTGCAGTTTTGACCTCGCCTGGGTCGGGACTCGAACCCAATTAGTGCGGAGTATTGTCTAGACGCATTAGTCATTACCTTCCACTTTGGATGAGAATACCTTTTGGGAAGCAAGGTCATGAGAAGCTCAATGGAAACATGAGGCCTACTTATATCATTGTGGAAGATTTCAACTATTAGACCTTCATCTCCTGAAACGAGAAAGTGTGAATACAGCTCTCATATCAGATCTTCGTGTCTTTATATAAACATGTCACGAGGACAGCTGTGGGCAGATCAGCCAGTCAACATTTTCATTTTTCCTCCAGTATTGGCGGGTTGGTCTGGCCGACTGTCGAATGGTCAAAACACCTAGGCTGAAATGGTTCATTTAAACTAGATCAATATTTGACAATGTAAAGTGCTTCTGTCTTTACTTTCCACACATCCGCCCGGTTGGCCCTCAGAGATGGTGAAGCGATGTGAAGGCATTACTATTGGCGGAAATAAGTTTTTGGCTCACGATGACACCAAGTCAGATCGCGTCGTGGCTCTCCGCAATGAGCGTATCATTCAGTCAACGTACTTGACGCGAAAGTGCCAGAGTCCGGCTCAGACTAAATATTCCAGCCTGAACAACCGACGCCAGCGTATCTCTATGATGATCTCAAGACAGCTAATGTCAATCATCAACCTGGGTTTAATGGCGAAAATCAGGTCGCATAAACTAGTGAAAACCCCAGAGGGCGTCTTCTACGCCATCAATGCCCACGCTCCAGTATCCCATGCTCTGCTGAAACCACTGGGAAAGACGTCAAAGGTTGGTAATATTTAAGAGAACATATAATGTACAGTTTTTACCGTGACATCTATTGTCCAACATTTGCTATCTGGCCACATCACAGCTACTACAGATTACTCGAACTTATGGATTCAGAAAAGTCGAGTTGGAAGTCAGAGCCTTTATGACAATTTTGTCTTCACTTGGATTTTTTAAATCAGAGCTGGGCTTACCCTTGATCGCACAATACAATAAAGGTGTATGGTGGAATTTTCCCACAATGAGATGAGCAGGCTTTATAGAGGTTGTTTGACCTTGTTTTCGCAACATGGTCATATTGGTAGGAAGACTTAGAGGAACGCAC